TATACATGAATTAGGATCATTATCAAAATGGTTATAGAACTTATGTTATGCATAAGTGATGACATACTAAAGCATTGTCCCTATGAACATAATGATAAGAAAGGGCACAGGATGAAGCGCAGTTTCCGTCTCATGTCCCATAGTTAAAACATCACTCTCAAATGTAGATGTTTAACACTTGGGGAAAAGGCTCGGGCCTACTGGCGGCCGAAGCAATTCTTGTTACTCCAAACCCTTTGTCTACCTGATAGTGATTCTTAAAAACATGCTTATGATATGGTCGGAATCGTACAATGGACTATGTTTTTGGCAGATACTTCTTACGCAGGGTTAGAAATTGGCACTAGTCCTATAGTCCTTGCCAAACTGCCCAATGGTAAAGGTATCATAAGGACTAGTAGAAAATTGCCATTTTTAAGGGTTTTGCTATATGTTATCATTATAAGGACTAGTGGACGAAAACTGTTAGTTTCTAACGCTGCTTACGTTTATGGAAATGTTTTTATCTCTTTAATTATTAATATTATTATTATGTTTATTAGCAGTAGAAGTAGTAGCAGTAGTAGCAGCAGTGATAGTAGTGATAGTAGTAGTGTAGTATAACTAACTTGTACATCGTTCTATCAGTTATTGATTGTCGTATTTACACCACCTCCATCCACACCATCACCACCACCACAAACAACAACAACAACAATAACAATAATAATAATAAAAATAATAATAATAATATTAAAAAAACATCTAGACTGGAAAGGGGCACTAGATCCTAGAACCGAGTACCTATTTATAGAGCAGAGTCTCACACACTATATTAAATTATGGCACACCTTTACATAATCTACAACGTAATCATATAATCACATACATACAACAGAATTTAACTTGTTCAATAACGTCCACATCGAACTTTTCAAAATCAAACAGAGAAACTTCAAGATCAAGACTGATAACATACATATCTTTAGAGCGAGACAAAGAAAAGTAAAAAAAAACTCACACCCATTCGGTATATATGTTACTCGACTACAGTTCACTAAGTACCTTCAACAGTCTTGTCATCCACCTCCAGCTACAACTGCAACACGACCTCACAACCACGACATTCCTTGAACTAAGGAGTGAGAGAGGGTGTGGTTAGGAGCGGGCTAAAGGAGGCACAAGGCTAAAGAAAGTCTACATGTACACAACCCTGTACCCTGAGCGAAACACCCAATTGACTTTATATGTTATGTGTCAGCCCGGGAAAGACGTGGATTTATGGCGGACCCCAGAGTAAATACCCAACACATGGGAAAGCCACTTCGATGAATCACAAGAATTATGACTAGCGTCATGGAAGGCTATTAACAACCAGGGTACCATGTGGCCACGTATTATGCAGGATTATTGAATTTGCGAAATGTTTGCATAATAAAGATTCGTTACTTACGTCCAAAGATTACAGAAATGAAATGCATCTATTGTACGAATATCTTATCATTTTCCATGTATTGCTTCAGATATTCACAGAAAACTGACATATTATCAAATCCATTATGTATTTGTATTGTTCATATATTTCTGTGGTTATCTGTAAGTACATGTATATGTGTGTTTTCATACTGTTGAAGTGATGTCAAAACTCTTATTGCCTTAAAGCTACACTTTGAATGCAAATACTACACTTCCAGTGTTTAAATACATGTTACTTGTTCTCTCAAATCCTTTAAGGGCGTGACTGTAAAACACAGCTCAGCAACAATAATAAGTATGACCCGAATCACTGTACAGACATGTGACTTCAGAAAATGCATGATAAAAATTGGCCTTTCAGAGCCCCTTTAAGTCTTCATCAAGTATGAATGCTTAATACTTTCATCAAGTATTGTTGAAATGTGGTTTAACTCTTATACTTGTGTATCTAAATGTAAACTGTTGTGATTTGCTCCTCTTTAAAAGATTCCCAAGGTGCCAGTACTTAACATTGCTGTAAGTACACAAGAGCAGTACAATAAAGACTTCTCATTGATTTGAGCTTAGTGAAAGAGCTCTCGTGGGCCTGTGATGCCTCTTACTCTAAGATGAGATTGATCACTTCAAGCTCGTCCGCTCTGTTTGCCTAGGTTCTCACTGCGATTCTTCGTTTAGTTTGTAATCTCGGGGCCACTCGCTTGTCGAGGACCGGGCGTCCTAATACATTCTCTCTAACCAGATAACTATTGTGCTGTGCTATCTGAGGGCAAATTATATAGTCTTTGATGAGACTGTTAGACGGGTGTTGGTGAGGTAGGTATCTCCCACCTTTGTTTCTCGGGGCCGTCACTTTTTCCAACTCGCCTGGCAAGTACAACAAGGCTTGGGTCGAGTCGGGGTTATTGCAATCATATAATAAATTCAACGGTTAGATCCGCCTTGAGTTAAGACGTAGCCAGCCAACTTTACTCGCGTGGGCTTCTGGCAGACTTTTTGAATATTTATTTTGTGATACACGCGTACTGGGGTTGTCATCCGGCGAACCGATTTTCTTCCTTATCGTTGTTATATATTTGATCATACCATATGGCGGGGAATTAAAACCCTCCCCTATTGTGTTGCAATGGGACTAGTTTAAGCACTATAAACATGCACTCACTATACAGCTATTGTTTTGTGTTATTGGTATTTTTTAATAGTCGTTATCTGGTTATTTTAGAATTCCTGTTCATAGAATCTGACATATTTATTAAATTTCAGCATGACCTATGCATCTCAATTGAAAGTAAGGATATTAGTTGGCGAATATATTGGAGAAAAAGTGTAAATTGCTTATTCAGCAATTCATGTTTGTGGTTGAATGAACTAGATTCTTATAGTATTTCTGACCGTGATATATGTACACCCGTTGAGTTACTTTTTAGTTTAAAAGCTAAAATAGTTAAAATAAATTATTAATTTCATTGATTATTGAAAATAAAGCCAAAACCCTTTCCATATCCAATAGAAATCTCCACGTAAAGCAAAGTCGATCTACAATTCCGACTATATCATGAGCATGTGTCTATGAATCACTATCTAATAATAATGTTACCGGGTGTTCGCGAAAAGGACGGAAGCAAGAGTTATGCTTATGTGCTTTGCGCGCGTGTACGTGTTGGTAAATGCGAAATGGGTTTCAATCAGTTAAGGCTATATAACGTTGTCATATGTATTCATATACACACATTAATGTTTGTTTAAGTATATATGCTAATGGTAAATGTTATACGGTATAAACGGGTATGTGCTGATGTCATGTAACTGACTAGATTGAGCACACGTTTTGAATATTTCATGCGTGAATACTCTGTTATCAAACTGTTGAAATACACGAAAATCCATTAGCGTTCTGATGTCCAGTTGACGTCCGGGCGAGCGCAGATCCGAAATACCCCAATACCCAAATACCTCAATGTTCCCATACCTTAAGCCTAAGATATGATGGTCAAACGACTGGGAAATAAACAGTGATCCATATGTTTGCTCACACTATCGACCACCGGTTTGGTTGGTTCAGGTCCCATAACATACTGGCCTCCGTGGTGTGGGTGTAATATTGTGAACTACAGTATAACCCTACACTCTCTGAATGGATTAGGGTATCTCTGTAAAAAATAACGTATTGTTATACATATAAAAAAAAATTTCAGAAAACAGGAAAAACAGGAAAAACCTCAATCCTTTGCATGTGAATTCATAGTTTTCAAGTCGAAACCATGATTCATTTCAAACATGACATTTCTCTTTGTCATTCTTTAACCGGCACATAATGGGATAGTTAAAAAATATTCTGATTATTTGTCATATATGTCACATAAACGACAACACCATTTTGATAGTCATAAGATCCATTGTACCATTCCGAATATATTATAATCATGTGTTTATCAATGGCTATCATATAGCAGGTCTTGGCGAATAGGTCAGCGTATCCTGTCCCATCGGTGTCCCGTCACAAACACATGCAAAGGCAATGGTTGTTTTTGAAAAAACAACACGTAAGCATATGGTACAAGTTAAAATAGTGAGTTGCATCGGATATCATTTTGAGCGTCAAATTTGAAATGTCCTCCACAAGTCTACCATAAAACTTTACTGAGACCTGGAATGTTATAACCCCATCAAACATTTGAACAAGAGTCAAATGTAAGTAATTCATGTATGTAAATATATAATGGCGGTTTGAAAACATAAAGTGGCACGAAGGACTGTCGAACAGTCCACACCTAGATTTACACTATAGACATACATAATTTATACAATGATATACACTTAGTGTTAAAACGGTAATAAAATATACCCTTCATTTAAAACCACAAAAACAACCCAACTCTCCAGACAAGGCTTTTCTAAGCAGACTTCACACGATTCTCTAACTACATACAACATTATGTTCAACTCGAGGTCACTCATGTTTATCACAGAGCCCCTCTGCCACTATCAGTCCCGCCGGTTGCTTTGACCCTTAAATGTAGCCATTTGTCCTCTCGGGTCATACACTCAGCTTGGAAGTAACGCAACGGGGTAATGGACATGTTTTCCTGATAAAAAGTCAACTTTGTCTACCAAACACAAACAGTTGACGCATATAGGTATGAGTTTTATCCCAACCCTCTTCACGTTCGGCACCCAGGTCCCGTCTTTCGGGATGGGGCTGATCGGACGCTGGGCTCTCTCCTGAGCCCTGAGGTATGGAATGTAGGCCCACTTCGTGATCGGTGTGGTTCGCGATGGAAGAATTTGCCACTTACTTCGTTTGAAAAGCAAACGTTATTCGATTAGAAATATCGACGTGAAATTAGAGTTGTGTACACTTTTACATCTAACCCCTTGTGTTATCAGACTGAGTCAATATTTAAAACGCTATTACGTCGGGGTATTGTCAGTTGATTGGCTGTCAGCTGCCTTGATAGTTGACCTCACGACACGTGAATATTAATCAGAGCTAATGTGTGGTCGTGTTTTCCATCGCACCGAACAAAAACACTGCCATTTCCGTAAATGGATAACAAGAAGTGACATCTTTGTTAACTATGCCAAAGTAAGCTGATTTGATATAGAAGTGTATTAACATTTGATAACAACCTAAAGGTAATTGTGTGACTCCACGTATGTCGTACTTTATATATTTATACTCGATATATATTTACTCTCTCTCTCTCTCTCTCTCTCTCTCTCTCTCTCTCTCTCTCTCTCTCTCTCTCTCTCTCTCTCTCTCTATCTATCTATCTATCTATCTATCTATCTATATATCTATCTATCTATCTATATATATATATATATATATATATATATATATATATATATATATGCGCAAGTGATTTCGTCAGGTGTATAAGTATTAAATATAGAAAAAACAGAGTCCAGATATTCGTGCTTGTCAAAACTCCTCTATCCACACAAGATCTTTCGCCGTTCAACGGCTATTCTTCTTTAAGTTTGTAACGATATATATATACACACATACATATATACATAGATAGATATATATAGATATAGATATATCGTTACAAACTTAAAGAAGGGTCATTTATCTTGCATTATTAAAGAGATCAATGATGCCCATCTGATATTAAACCGTGGTTTCTCCAGTTGAAATTAAAAATTACAAACATAGAAACGTTTACTCTCAATACACTTTCATATTTAATAACAACAGATATGCATTTTACACTTCAAATCTCCACTGGATCAATTTTATGATTCTTGTTTAATGCTCTTAGTCACCTGTTAGTCCCAATGTGCAAATGACATTTACTGTTAATAAATGTGACAAAGCCCTTTCCATGGCCATGAGAAACCCCTGCCAAAATCAGAGTCGATTTCACGATTCCAGCCACATCATGAGCATGCGTCCATGAACTGCCATCAACCAGCGATGACACCAGGTGGTGCTCACCTGCTTTCATGCCTCACTCCCTGTCTGTTTGATGGCGTTGGAACATATCCGGCTGTTTTTACTTGTTGTTTACTTTCATTTAGTCTACACGTAGCTTCCTACTTATGGCCACTTCGTTGTTAACCTGATAACCTTCGTACGTATATATCTGCTTACCTGTTTTTATCGCTACACCGAAGTATGTTTGTTCGCCTGCATTGAGTGTTCACCTGTCTTCTTGGTAACTGTTTGGCAACCTACCCTCATGGTGCCTGCTTGCTTACCCGTCATCTCTATACCTGTTCTCTTACCTACCCTCATGGTGCCTGCTTGCTTACCCGTCATCTCTATACCTGTTCGCTTACCTACCCTCATGGTGCCTGCTTGCTTACCCGTCATCTCCATACATGTTCGTTTACCTACTCTCATGGTGCCTGCTTGCTTACCCGTCATCTCTATACCTGTTCTCTTACCTACCCTCATGGTGCCTGCTTGCTTACCCGTCATCTCTATACCTGTTCTCTTACCTACCCTCATGGTGCCTGCTTGCTTACCCGTCATCTCTATACCTGTTCTCTTACCTACCCTCATGGTGCCTGCTTGCTTACCCGTCATCTCCATACATGTTCGTTGACCTACTCTCATGGTGCTTGCTTGCTTACCCGTCATCTCTATACCTGTTCGCTTACCTACCCTCATGGTGCTTGCTTGCTTACCCGTCATCTCTATACCTGTTCTCTTACCTACCCTCATGGTGCCTGCTTGCTTACCCGTCATCTCCATACATGTTCGTTGACCTACTCTCATGGTGCTTGCTTGCTTACACGTCATCTCTATACCTGTTCGCTTACCTACCCTCATGGTGTCTGCTTGCTTCCCTATTTACCTTATATAATGCTTACAACTTGTAATGCTTACTTCTTTAATGCTTTCTTCTTTAAATGCTTACTTCTGTTAATACTTTCTTCTTTAAATGGTTACTTCTTTTAATGTTTACTTCTTTTAATGCTTATGTCTGTTAATACTTTCTTCTTTTAATGCTTTCTTCTTTAAATGCTTACTTCTTTTAATGTTTACTTCTTTTAATGCTTACTTCTGTTAATACCTTCTTCTTTAAATGCTTTCTTCTTTAAATGCTTATTTCTTTAAATGCTTACTTCCGTTATTGCTTACTTCTGTTAATACTTTCTTATTTAAATGCTTACTTCTTGAAATGCTCACTTCTGTAAATGCTTACTTCTTTAAATGCTTACGTCTTTAAAAGCTTACTTCTTTTCATGCTTACTTCTTTAAATGCTTACGTGCCTGTCTGCATATTTCATAGGCGCTGATAGCTGTGTGTACAATATGCATATCCCATGCCAGCGTCAATAGTATTTTCGGTGCTTCTAAATTACTGGCGTAGCTTCAGATCTGGTTCGGCCAAGGCCTTCCCTGCAGTGCCGAGTTCAGGTAGCCAATAAGTCACATATGATTGCTTTCACTCGCGGTTAATTCAGCTTAACACTGAATATTAGGAATCTTGTACAACATGTAAGTGGGATTAATACAAGTGCTGTGACGTTGCGGGCACGCCATGAAGCACTTGATGTATGCTCCAGTAAGGGGAACTCGAGTAGGCAGTAATTCAGCCTTAATAGCAGACATTGTCATCACCGATATCCGGCACCGGTATACATGCCTTGACTGTTGTGCCCTTAGCTTCATCGAAACTTTCTTAACTCGGGTTTAAAACATCTTCAGAAGTCCTCTGTAATGAGTGCTGTTCTGTGCAGTCGTGAAATCAAATCAATTTAGACGTTGTTCGCTCCTCTATGCCCACGAGGCGTGCTGTTGGCCCAACTACGCATGTCCTCAGCCACTTTACGGCAGTCGTGAAGTGTAAGTAAAGGGGAAAGCCTAAGACTATAATCACCACCCCTGTAAATCTTCCTTTTCTTGTCAACTCGTTTTACGACATCGACACTGAAGGGAGTTGTGTTGAAAAAAAGAACCCCAAATTGCCCAGCATTGCGTTTAACGGGTGTAGTGTTTTACGGGTTTGTACCAAGTTTATATGTTATCACAGTACAAAGATAACGCAAGTTCGTGCCCAATCGTAAAGGATAGAAACTATTTCTTATCGCCCTTGTCCTATAACAACGAAACCTGCAATATTACATACAGGAGGCGTGAAGTGTTGACTGATCTCTGGGACTACTTGGATGTTAGTTATTGACTATATTAACCGCTTATCATATTCTTTAGAACCTCTCCGATAACGAAGACTAAATGATAGTTTGGAGGACTGACTTGGTTCACAAAACTGGCATTATGACCTGCAACTCCAGAAGGAACAAAGGAAAGAAAGGGTGATGTGTTTTGATATGTCATATTGAACAAACTGTGGTATGTAGGGTATGACCTAAGTATTAGTTCATACTGTAGTTGTTGAATTTAGGTACTCCGAAATTTTGACACGGAATTAATTTACAGTTCATAATAAAGTAAAGGTGATTCGTTTTAGTCTTGTAGGGTTCAGCTAAGGATGCCGATGCAGGCGTTATTAAGATTGTTGGGGAAATACATTTAAAACTGACTTGGTTATCAGCAAAAATATAATCGTTATCTGTAAATGTCTTTCAAGAAAATAGCTCCGGAAAATGACGTCACTCGAGAAGGCCTTTTAATCCACACAAAGCCGTTATTATTTATCTAGCTTACAATATGTAGAACAATATACGTAAAACTAATACATTTTAATGTTATTATTACTATGATTATTTATTATACCCGCCATGACACTCCTTACTATCTTCTCCATGTTCATATGAAGTCTCAACTAAAAGCAAACTCGACTGTACAAATCCAACTATACCATGATCATGTGTTTATGAATCGTTATTAACAATGATGAGAACAGGTGTTCGGCAAAAGGTGCGCGTGGCCTGCCGCAGCGGTGGCAACCGTCACAAACACATGCAAAGGCAAGGCAAATATTTACCTGATAAAATCCCCTAAATATTCCCGCTATGTTTAACACTTTGAAGGTATTTACAGCTTAAGAAGGATGTGCAGATAACTCTTGCCATAACGAGTTCGTTACTTAAATAATGATGGTACTTGGTGTTCGCAAAAACTTTAGCGTATCCTGCCCCACCGTTGGCACCCGTCAGACAGATTGTTCCTGTTACTGTGGGTGGTAATATATATCCACCCAGTCCGTCCGGATGAAGTAGGACGTATTATATGGGTGTGGGGACAGATAGGTCAACCGTACACATTATAGACAAAATATAAATATTTATACATATCAAAATAAAATTTACCTGTCATGTTATCCTAGTATGCCATCGTACAATCAGCCGCAAGTCAAATACCGTCCTGTTCCAGTGTGTGCAGATGTCCTAGTTAAATATTACACTCTGCATTTACTTCATTTGAACCACATGCATTAATCGTATATCAAACTGAAGCCGTTTACCTGCACACTACATCACCCTCATCTTACAATTGGGAGTACTATCCAGGTTAAAGGCAATAAGCGCAATGTACACAGTTTTCGTGTCTAGAGATCATCCAATGCACGCCCCAGGGTCCCTGCAACCAAGCCATCTTAAACGACATCAATGAAGGACTTGTACGTGTGAAGAGAAGGGACCGAGTTCCACTGATGGCCGGGGTACAGGGCTACACTTGTATGTAGCTGTCGGTTTCCTGTAGAGTCAAGGGATGATGGTCAGAGACCAGCCTCCAGCTAATCTATTTGACGTTTTAAAACTGTGGCAATCCACCAGGGGCTTGTGTGTGTTGGTATCACTAAGGTGTTTGAGGTAGGGGTAGACCTGGAGGACGGGTGAATATGTCAAAATCTTCAAACATTGTCAGTGGGATTTATGAATGTGTGTCACTTCATTATTACATAGACAATGATTGATTAATGTGTGTAACATTTTATTATACAGACAATGGTTTATTAATGTGTGTCATACCATTATTATATTAACAATGGTTAATTATTGTGTGTAACATTTTATCATATGGAGAATGTTTGTTAATGTGTGTAACATCATTATCATATAGACAATGGTTTAGTAATATGTGTAACATTTTTATGATATAGACAGTGGTTTATTAATGTGTGTCACATCTTTATTATGTTAACAACGTCACAGGTGTTTTATGTAGATATTAGTTTATTAATGTGTGTCACATCTTTATTATGTTAACAATG